TCAGCCGTATTTTTGTCATGAGGGTCAAAGAGGAGGACTTCCTAGTATTCTATCCTCACTGCAACACAGTGTGGCTCAATGGAAGGTGAGCTAGTGGGGAGAGTCGGGTCAGCGTCCAGAAACACAGCACAAACAGTTCCCAGTGGGGAAAGTATTCCCCAGCTCCCTTGAATGCTCTCTAATCTCTCTCATTTTTTATTTATTTTTTAAGTTGACACAATAATAATTGTACATTTATGGGGTACACAGCGACATTTCAATATATATATAATGATTGGATCAGGGTGTATAGCATGTCTAGCATCTCAAACATGTCTTTTCTTTATGTTGGGAATTTAAATGTCCTCCTTCTAGCTACTTGAAACTATATATTACTGTTAACTACAGTCATTCTACGGTGCTACAGAACACCAGAACTTATTCCTCTTATCTACCTGTAATTTTGTATCCTTCAGTAAATCTCTCCCTATCCCACTTCTGCCTACTCTTCCCTGCCTTAACTTCTTTTGAGAAGACACATCTCCCTCCCTGCCCTGGTTCATGTGCCCCAGAGACCCAGTTCCGAAGTATGACAGAAACCTGGTTGACATTAGGTTCCCCACATGAGGGAGATGGCCACACTGTGCATTCAGACCTAGAGAGCTGCTGAGGGGCACAGGGCAAGAAGAGCTGCTTCCGCTGAAGCCTTTCATTCCCGCCACCCCCTCCGCCATGTTCCCTGGAAATAGTGTGAGTCACAGACAGAAGCTACAACAATGGCATCACATTAGATCATCTGGAGACCCTGGCTGTTGTAATATTAACTCGATAATTTTATATCACTAATACATGGTTTTGTGTCCTTGACAATGCTTGGTGATCATGGATGCTTACTCTAATGCCAACTAAAAAAAAACAAGGGGTTGTTTCAACTACATAAGCAAATAGTAAACATTTGTATCTCAAAACTAGTTCCACTATAAGCCCATTGAAATGAATTTAGCAATTTTTAAAGCATCACAATTTAAAACCAAATATAAGACAAAAAAGTTTAAGATCATTTTCCCTGGAAACCTAAAAAACTAAAGGTTTAGGTTTATTAGACCAATCTTTAACCAGGTAGGCTAAAAAGGAATATATTTACTGTCTTGAGTATTCTGTAAGAACTCCAGCTAATTTCATGTTCCCAAATATGCATAAGAGATTCCGCCTCTCTATTTCAGTGTTAGGAGACAGATCTCTTCAAATAAATGAAAATACATTTCCTTACAGATTTATACTCTTCCTTACATATTTTAAACAAATATCATTTATACCCTTAAATCAATGAGAATTTCTTTCCAACGAATGTTCCATTTGCTTAAAGTAAAAAGTGAAAATACTGATTTACTAAATAATCAATGCTTTTCTTTTTAACCTAAACACTTTTATTTTATTTTATGTTTTTTTTTAGAGACAAGCTCTTGCTCTGTCATCCAGGCTGGAATGCAGTGGCAGGATCACAGCTCACTGTAGCCTCAAACCCTGGGCTCAAGCAATCCTCTCGCCTCAGCCTCCCAAGTAGCTACAACTACAGGAGTGCACTACCACGCCCAGCGAGTTTTTCTATTTTTTGTAGAGATGGGATCTTGCTGTGTTGCCCAGGCTGGTTTCAAACTCCTAGGCTCAAGCTTTCCTGCCACCTCAGCCTATCAAACACTTTTAATTCTCCAAAATTGGGGGGTACACATGGGCAGCATGTTCACTTTCCAAATGAAAATCTCATGGAATATACATTCTCTTATCTAATTCATCAGGACACCCACCCACCAGCACTGAAAAGCTGTACTCCCAGCAAGCAAGAGCCATACCCGTGTGCATGCACTCATGTGAAAATATCACACACACTAAATTGCATTGAGGTCATGACAACATGCAACTTAGTAATGTGCAATATCTCCACCAGAGCAAGCAGAATGGGAGCATCAGGGAAGAAGGGTGTGATGTACACATTCAGGAGACAACATGCTGCTAAAGAGAGGAAAATGGTTTGGGAATAAAGGATGCATGCCACTGACTCAAAAATTCATGAAATGAAAACCCAATCACAAATGTATTCAATTTAGAAGAATACTTACTCAGAATTAAAATAATAATTAAGGTTCAAAAATTCAATGAGATAGTGATCATAAGAAAGCCACATATTTCAGAAAGGAAAGCTTTAAGAACAAACACTTTCACTGTCTGGTCATGCAGTTATCCCCCAATTTCAATTCCACTTTTAACTTATTAACAAATCATATAAAATGAGTTTAATGATTTCCACTTAACTGTAACACTGATGATAATTAAAGACCAATGCTTATAAAATCTGTTAGCACTGATAATTTGCAGATTAAACCATTCTTTGATGATATTACAATATTTTTATAACCATTTGTATAATATTTTTCCTCTTAAAATCTTTCAAACGTATTCCTTCTTGAACACAATCCTTCAGAATGAAATATTTGACGAGAGCTCTTAGAAACAGAACTCACTGTTATCTTATTTATAAGAGAAAGCTGTTCAGAGGAATGTAAGCAAAATCTACACATTTTAAGTCTTGGATTTGATCCAGTAAAGAAACAGCCCAGAGAACTTAGACTGCAAAAAATCATCTTGAATTACAATCTTCGATTTATAATAACTTGATATAGCTTTGGTTAGAAAAACGGCTCAAGCCATAACACATTCTCTAGTCAATACCATATTTATCAGACTCTCATAAATCTATCGATTTTGAGAACCATTAAGGATTATAGATCTGATACTAAAGGTTGTTGAAATTTTTTCTGTATTAAAAATGATAAATTAAAATGAATGGTTTTTATCCCAGTATACTTTGGAACCAAGACATGAGCTACTGTCATAGTACATAATTAGCCTGTACACTCCCAAGAAGAAGAGTCAAATCTTATTTGAAAGAGATACATTTCCTCATATCTTTGTGGATAATAGCACTTTTTCTAATCTCGAATTCTCTATTGAGCTGAAGACCTGAATTTCTAGCCACCAGCCTCATGTGTCCATATGAATGGTCTTGACAGTACCACAAATCTAACTCGTGATCTCCCCTAACCAGCAGCTCCTGGAAGAAGGTATCCTGGTGTAACAGAATACGTGCTTTCAATCAGCTGAACAGATTTACTCTCCACTGACTAGCAAGCACAGCACTGAAGAATTAAGTTTACAACAAGAGAGGTAGCATATCTGGTATGAAAAAAAGGTGACTCAAAGAAGACATTCAGAGAATGGTCGCAAGTAGTTCACTCTAAGACAGCAGAACAAGAAAAAATTCAAGAACTGTCATTTGAAAATAGAAAAACTTGTGAGAATAAGAGTCAATGTTAATGAAGGTTACATGAAGAAAAGGAAGTATCATCTTGAAGTTCATTAGGAACAAAGTAGATTATTTCTCTGCAAGCCTTGGCTGAAGTCACATTGACTAAAGACCCTACCAGCCTTTGATACAGCTGACTCAATAGCTTTATTCTATGGGGAAGACAGATGAGTTTTCCTTTTTGGTAGAACATCTGCATAAGCTTTTTGAGTAGGAGAGAGATCACTTAGATAAACAAAAGATAATCTATTGCTGGAATTTTCATCATTTCATTTACTCAGGATGATAATCAATAGTTATACAGGCCTTAGGAAGGATGCTAAAGCTCGCACTTTCCTGAAGACAGCTTAGCTTCACCCTGAAAGCTGCCGCATTAGATAAACACCAGGAGTCTTAACACAAATGCCCCTCATGTGGATACCTGAGAGCACCACATAGGTAGTAAGAGCTTTTTCTTTTTCATCCCATTTGACAGCCAATCAAGGAAAAAGACAGTGGTGAAGATTTTACCCAGGCCTTGCTACTAGGAAAAAGGGCAAGAACTTACCACAGTTTCTACAGATGATGTACTTTAGGACCATGAATCCTATTTGAATGTAACTGAGGGTTTTTTAAAGATCAAAATGGTATTCTCCCTAGCTGCTACATGAACACAGTGAAAAAATAAGCCAAGATCAGTCAGACAGGATTATCAGGTCCAATCAAGATTTCTGTGGAAGATTATTTGCCAACAACAGTATTTTTTTTAAAGTGTGTGAAAACAGAAATGCCAGCCAGTGAATCTTTATTCACTATTCAAGAGAAGCTTAAGACCACCTGGCTAACAACTTAATAGAAAAGGGAGCTCTAATGGAAAATTCAAGGCTTTACTATGAGTAGCTATTCACAAGTAAAAACGTAGTTGAGTCTTGTTAATGAACAATGAGGGACAGGGGTTGGAAAAGGGGCTGAGAGGGGCCTGCACTGCAAAAGGCCTCTCCCTACCAGAAAGGATGAAGAGGAAAACGGAAAAGGGGACGAGGAGCCAGTGACTTGGAACGAGCTCATGGAGAATAAAAGTGAAGCAGCAGCTCATTCAGAAACCAATCCTGCAATACATGGACCCCAGAAGGCACGGGGTAAGTGTCTGGCAAGAATCTACAATACACACAGGGCCTGTGACTTGGAGATAACCAAAGATTCTGTATTTCCAATATCCAGCCTACCCCTGCAGAGGGGACAGCCTGGCTGCAGAAGGAGAGAGGAAGAAACAGTGAGGCCTTCAGCTAGAATTCCTGAGAACAGAGGAGGGTTCTGGGAAGAGGTGAGGGAGTGTGTAGTAGGAGAGGGGGTCCTCCTGATCAAGTGATATGGTGGTAAGAGCTAGACTAGGAGCCTGCTAATGGAAAGCTGATGGAGACAGGCCATTACATTTTTGTAAATCACAGGTTTGAAAGGATATTGAAACTGCTTTAACTTTTTTAACATTTGCATTTTGAAAATATAAAAAATTGAAAAAAATAACATTTGCACTGCTTAAAATGAGATAAAAACCTTGAAAATACCAGAGCCCTTCAATATGTTAGCACTGAATGTTACTAGGAAGCTCAAGACAAAAAACAAGCTTCTCACAGAAAGCAGTTTCCAAAAGAAGAAAGAAGAGCATCAATCTTATCCCTACCTGATAGCTTCTTCCACAGACTGGCCAATAATATTAGAGGAAGGACCTGGCTGAGATAGTGGAGTCAGGCTTATCACCCACTTCACTGGCTTGTAGTACTCATCACTGGAACTTAACAGATAAAATAGTGTGGTCAGGAAAATTATCTGTAAAACAAAGGACAGCATCACCTAAAAAACCACATTTGGAAACTAGAGGAAGATAGACATCTGCAAACGCAAATGGAACCAAGAATATACTTAAATGGGGAAGGAAATGAGATGTGTACTCATCTACTCAGACATACCAGAGAGAGTACAAAATTGAGAAGGGCAGTCCCACTGTAGAAGAGGATGGTCAGGAGCGTAGTGACGGTAGTAAACAGCAGGCTCACGTTCCGGCTCATCACAATCCACAGAGACTCCAAGATCTGATGGGGAGGGAAAGCTGGATATTAGAACTAATCCTCATGAAGGAAGTTCCTATAGCCATCTAGTGTGTGTAGTTTTTTTCCTTTTTTTTTTGAGACAGAGTCTAGCTCTGTTGCCCCGGGTGGAGTGCAGTGGCATCATCATAGCTCACAGCAACCTCAAACTCCTGGGCTCCAGCGATCCTCCTCCCTCAGCCTCCTCAGTAGCTGGGACTACAGGCATACCACGATGCCCAGCTAATTTTTCTATTTTAAGTAGAGATGGGGTCTCGCTCTTGCTCAGACTCGTCTTGAAATTCTGAGCTCAAGCAATATTCCTGCTTCAGCCTCCCAGAGACAGTGTGTTAGTATCATGCACTAAAAGACATGTACTGAGGATTATTTTAAGTGGGGAAAAAATAATCAACTGAAAACAGCTGTATGTTCAATAGTAAGGAAAATAATTAAGTAAATTATAATCCACTCCAAACAATATTAGGGAGGCATAAAAAAATCTCTACTTCACCACTCTACGATACATTCATGTAACAAAAAACCATTTGTATCCCCCAAATCCATTGAAATTTTTTAAGAATCTCTATTATAACATGGAAAAATATTTTATGATATAATGGTAAGTTTAAAAATCAGGATACAAAAATTTCATATATAACTATGTAAACATAGCATGCATAGAAGAAATAGTCATGTGTTGCTTAATGACAGGGATATGTTCTGAGAAATGCATTGTGAGGTGATTTTGTCGTCCTAAGATGATCATAGAGCGTGCTTACACAAATCTAAATGGTATAGCCTACTACACACCTAGGCTGTATGACACAGCCTATTACTCCTAGGCTACACACCTGTATAGCATGTTACTGTTCTGGATACTATAGGCAATTGTGACACAGTGGTTAACATTCGTGTATCTAAATATATCTATGCTAGAAAAGATACAGTAAAATTATGGTATCTTACGGTAGTACCACCAAATATATGGTGACTAAGGTGTCACTATGCAGCACGTGAGATGACTACAAGCTGTTGTTATATTTATCTTGTAGGATCATGAGTGTAGGCCATGAAATTCCAGCACTTGTTTCATTAGCTGCCTAGCCCCAACCCTTACCATCTACAACTTAGATTCATCCACAAATGTAAAATGTATCATTTCAATGACTTCATTAAAGTCACAATAAAAGGGACAGAGTGGAGGGCAGAGCTCTGCAGCTAAAAATCTTTCCTGAGATAATCACCATTATATTGAGACTTACTGAGTACAGTTGATCCATCAACTATAAATCCATTAGAACTAGGTATCAAGATGAAGGTTTTTAATATGTTAAGTGTTACTAAAGATGTATATTATCTATAGCACACCTGCATGTTTTCATTTATTATCTCTTCATGAATTTAAATTCCCTTACAATAATGCCTGTTCTATTCTTCCCAAGTAGACTATCCTTTTTGTTCGTGAAAAACACGGAAGCAAAATGATCAAGAAACACCTCCTGTTGCAGTTTTCAAAATGCTTCCATAAACCTCACAACAATAATGCCGTGTGTGAAGCAATACAGATGATATCTCTATTTTATAGATACACAAATTGAAGCTCAGAAATTTTTTAAAACTTGCCAAAAGGCAAGGAGCTAATCAGTGGGACCAGAACTCAAAATGTCTGATTTTCATTTTGGTGCCCTTTCCAAAACAGCAGTTCTGTTTTTTGTCGTATGTTCCAGTTATACCATCTGTTCTATGAAAGGCCTATCCATTCCTTTCTACCTAAAATGTATCATTTATAAAGGCACATTTTGTTGCCCTCGGCATTTCTTGCAAACCTCAGCTCAGTCTTCGTAAGAGGACTTTGGCAGGCTGGTTTCATTTACAAAAACTCCTTACATAAGATCTTGAAAATATTTCACAATGCCTACAAAAATATGCATGATTGACTGTTTGACCCTGTGGGATAAAGAATGAATGAACAATGCCATCAATTCCAAGAAACAAACCAACAATGCCTTTACTTGTGATTTTGACAAGCATTCTTTTTGGGGCTTCAGTCATTTTGGAATTTTTTTCAAAAAATTTTTAAATAGTTTCTGGGTCACATTGGGAGAAAATACTGTGATAATTCTTAAGAAATTAACTGAATACATTAATTGTAGACTGGTAGTCTCCAACAACAATTAAGTAACCTTTCTTACTTGAAAGAAAGGGGATCAGCTAGAGAAAACAGAGAAAAGGACATTTCTATAATACTAAGTAAATCCTTAAGGTAAAGTAGTTTTAGCTTATATGCCAGGCTTCGAAAGGAGGAAATGAATAAAGGCAGGAGCAATAACAAGGCCCCTCAAACTCTCAAAACAAAACAGATTTATGGAGGCAAAATGTATCCCTATCTCAAAAGTAGAAAACATGAGCCAAGTTTGGCATTAGTTTAATCAACAGTAGCAACGTAACTCCTGAAAGAAGGCCAAGAATAATTAGTCATGGAACATACATGAAAGCCCAGGAGACTTACCTAAGCACTCAAGCAAGGTGGTCTCTGCTGTGGATACAAAATGACCAGCAAGACCTCACCATCTCCAGTTGTTCTGCACCCCTTTACTCTGAGTCTACCTCTCACCAAATACTCTTTTATTAATTTGGCTTCCCAGGTATCTATGAAGAGTGATTAGCCTGTCTTATATGAAGCCAGTGAAGGAGAATCAAAGAAAGCAGTTTAGAAAAGCAGAACAGGAATAGATGTTGCAGGGATGCAGAGGTCAAAATAAGAGAAAATGTCTCTCCTGGCAGGACTGAGCCATCTCTGTCTGTCAGGGAGTCCAGAGGGAGCCTAGAGATGGTGAACACAAGCTCTGCTGTCCTTCTCTGGTTCCTATATTCTTTATCTATCTATAAATGAAGGTAGCTGAGCCATGAGATCCCAAAACACCATTTCAACTCAGCCACTGTGCTTCTAAATACAAAAATAATCATTACTCCATTATTCAAGCTGTAATGTGTGCTTCCCTTTTTTTTTGATATAGGGTCTCACTTTTGCCCAGGCTAGAGTGCAGTGGTGTCATCATAGCTCACTGCAACCAAGTGGGCTCAAAGCCACCTTCCTGCCTCAGCCTCCTGAGTAGCTGGGACTACCAGTGCAAGCTACCACACCCAGGTAATGATAAATGAGACTCTACCTCCAAAAACTTAAAATCTAGTCAGGAAGATTGGGATAAACACTAAAGAGTCACAAATTGAAAAAGAAGGTAAAATATGTTCAGGTATCAAAAGAAGGGCTGAAAATAATGAATGCAAAAGGAGTTTGAAAGTTGGGGAAGCCCAGTATGTTCTGAAATGATGAACAAGATTGGCAACTAAGCTGTCTATTTATAACAAGATCAGAAAACAAAACAAAGCAAATAAAAATGTAAAGGTATGAGATTAAGAAATGTTGAGTTCTCCAGAGGATAAAATACAATTCAGAAGACAACGTGGTTTTATACAAAAAGCCTGGTTTCTGAAGCCGAGGAAAGAAAAACTGAATTTGAATAAAAACTGTTATTTATTAGGCTATTTAACTGTTAACATGATTCTTTGTTATTAAAATGAAGGCAAGTATAACTGGCTTTGCAGAATCTTTGAGACAATTAATTAGAAAATATTTATTAAGCACCTGGCACAATATTAGACACAAAATATTTGATACAAAAAACACCAAATAATCATCTCTTCCCTAAATTGTCCATTGCTCAATATTTAAATGTGTTTAGGCATACAGGAATTGTACCTTTTTTGTTTCTTTTTTTCTTTTTTTGGACTACATGGCTAAATTGTTATTTTAGTTTCAAAAACTGCTTATCCTTTTTCTTTCCATAAAAATTTATAAAATTTAAATAATCATTTTTCTGTATCATCTGTCTTAATTTGATACTGTCACTTTGTCAGCCCATAATAGATGCTTTAAAATTCAACTTCTAACTGCTCAAAACAACAAAAAAGGATTCAGTAACTTTTAGTTAACACACCTGAACTTTGGAGGAAACCAATCATTCCGATGTATTATTAGATGATACACTCCCTTGTGTATGCATTGACATTAAACAGCTGACTGGAAGGTCCATGAAACCAGATGGACCCCTGTGACTGCTGGGCTTTTCTATATGCTGATCTGGCTGGGACTTTCCCACTGGCTTTTAGTGTTTCACTTTTAAAAAGGAACAGGCTACCAAGGATCACCAGACATTTGATGAAAGAGAAAGCAAAACAAACTTTAAAGAAATTCAAACAGAGAGCAGAAGACATTTAAAAAACTGTATTAGTAAAAATCCATAAAGAAAAAAAGAAGGTTCAGAACATAAGAAAGAGCTACAGTTCCCAAGGTCCTTTTGAAGGTCTGTGAGGTCAAAATTACTTTTTTAATATTATTCAAACATTTGCCTTTTCACTGTGTTGGCATCTGTATTGACAGTGCAAAGGCAACCAATGGTGGGTAAAACTGTGGGGGCCGTAGCAGGAATCAAGGCAGCAACACCTAATTGCTCCAGTATTCGTTATATTCTTTCCCACCACAATCTCAGCACCAGTTTCACTTTAGAACGTCCTGTAGAGGTCAGGCACAGTGGCTCAAACCTGTAATCTCAGTGCTTTGGAGGACAACACGGGAGAATTGTTTGAGGCCAGGAGTTCAAGACCAGCTTGGGCAACATGGTGAGACCTTGTCTCTACAAAAAATTTGTTTTTCCCTTTGAGACAGGGTCTCACTCTGTTGCCCAGCATAGAGGACGATGTCACCATCATAGCTCACAGCAACTTCAAAGTCTTGGGCTCAAGTGATCCGCCTGCCTCAGTCTCCCAACTTATACTTTTTGTAGAAACAGGGTTTTGCTATGTTGCTCAGGCTGATCTCAAACTCCTGGCCTCAAGCAATCCTCCTGCCTCAGCCTTCCAAAGTTCTAGGATTACAGGCATGAGCCACCATGCCTGGCCCTCTACAGAAAATTTTTTAGAAGTTAGCTAGTGATGGTGGCACACATTGTAGAACAGAGTGATACCCTGTCTCAAAAAAAAAAAAAAAAGTCTTTTATGTAGCAATAAAAATTATTAATTTTATTGATAATTGTATTAAGTGTCTGTCTTTTTAACATTTTCTGTGATGAAACAAGAAGTAAATCCAAAGCACATCTGCTGCTCACTGAAGTATAATGGTTATTGGAGGAAAAGCGTTTGTATGATTGCTTCGAGAGTTGAATTAGTCAATTTCTTTCACAGAACACCATTTCCACATAAAAGAATGACTGACAGACTCGATATTATTTGGCAGCAATTTTCTCAAAAATGAGTAAGGTGAGCCTGTTACTTCAAGGAAAATAACTGTTAGTCTTTGCCAAAAATAAAATTTGAGCTTTCAAGAAAAAAATTGTAGTTTTGAAAATTTTATATTGGTCATTGTGACCCTGACAGCTTCCTAAACTTTCTTCCTGATAAAATAGGTGATGATAGTAAAGAATATGTTTGTTTTTTTTTTTTTTTTTTTTTAGAGACACAGTCTCACTCTTTTGTCCGGGGTAGAGTGAGTGCCGTGGCGTTAGCCTAGCTCACAGCAACCTCAAACTCCTGGGCTCAAGCGATCCTCCTGCCTCAGCCTCCCGAGTAGCTGGGACTACAGGCATGCGCCACCATGCCCGGCTAATTTTTTCTATATATATATTTTTAGTTGTCCAGATAATTTCTTTGAACTTTTAGTAGAGACGGGGTCTCGCTCTTGCTCAGGCCGGTCTTGAACTCCTAAGTTCAAACAATCCGCCCGCCTCGGCCTCCCAGAGTGCTAGGATTACAGGCGTGAGCCACTGCGCCCGGCCAAGAATATGGTTTTTTAAATAACACATAATACCAAAATGTCAGTATGTAGAAGATATACAGAAATCAGTGATCCCATATTCTGAATGACCAATGCGCATTACAAAAGCACGCAAGGGTAAAAGCAACATTCCTAGCCAAGACAGACCCCTGGGCTTTAATATACCAGAGTACAAAAAGACCACTGATATGGTTTCAAATTCTACACTGCAACTAACCTTTAAGAAAATACCGTTTGTTGAGTTTGGTATAGAATTAATTTAGAATAGCCACAATTAAATCTGAAAAGGCTATTAAAAGACTCCTCTCTTTTCCGACCACATGTGGAGCCTAGACATTCTTCATATACTTCAACCAAAATAAACACATTACAACAGATTGAAGGCAGAAGCAGATATGAGAATCCAGATGTTAAATAGACTTGTAAAAATGTAAAAGAAAACCATTCTTCTCACTAAATCTTTTCTGGCTTTAGAAAATATTATTTTTCACAAACAAAGAGCAATGTCGATATGTTAGCATGTAATATTATTTAATGGACAGATAAATATGAACTTTGGGGTCCTCAGACCAAAAAGAATGAGAACCACTGGACCAGAGAAAACAGAGAAAAGGGATTATCAAAAACAGAAAATAAAACTGGAGGACATGAATTTCTAGATTTAATTCCAAACTGTCACAGCTGTATGGGGTGACCAGGAGGAAAGGGAGAGTGTGAGCATAGGGTCAGGGGTAGGCGCAATGGAGCTATGAGACAACCGGAAGGGAGGGGTAAGGAAGCACTGAAGGACCTGGAAAAGGGTCACATCTTTACCTCCAGCTTCCATATTAGGAAGCCAAAAGATAATATCTAAAATTGCAAAACCAAGAAAGAGCAGCATACACACCACTCTAGAAATTCAGAGGTAATAAACCAGCGAAAGCTGCAAGGATGGACAGCTATTTCTGGAGAATGAGACTGAAGCTGGGAGGCACAGAATAGGGCACTGTTGTCTTTTAACAAAAGTCTTGTCAACTTTTTCAGTTATGACCATGTATTACTTTGATAAAAATTAAATTTTAAGAAATCTAGCACTGTAAACCTCAACTTTTGTTTATTTGCTGAAAGCCACAAGTTTATTCAGAAGACATCTGTTCTCATCTCTGTGAAAACCTGAGTGCCAAGACATCTCACCAGGTACGCTACTGAACAGTGAGGAGCAGCAGTGAACACTTGGAACACTGCAAGGCTACAGAGGTGGATGGTGCATGGTGGAGGTCAGGTGGGAAGCAACAAGCCAAGTACTGACACGTTCCGTCTCTGCAGTGTAACTGGAACTGTGTTTCCATCTGTCGAGGGGCTTGGTGCACCATAAAAGTAGGTCTCTCTCCAGTGGTCTAGCTGGGGACATTTTCATCAGTCTAAGAAAACAATCGGACAGCCCATACCGTTGCTCACATGCTTCAGGACAGCATCTTTCAGCTACTCTGAAAGAGGAGGTACCAGAGGAGCTGCACCTGGGGACTGTGGCTTTTGAACATCTTTCTAGTGCATTTAGAGTTCTCGAATCTGTAAATGTCATGGCATTAAAAACAGGGTAACTGAAGGCCTCATGGTGTATAAAGAAAACTTGGAATTAGAGTTTGTTTTTATTTGTAAGTCCACTTTACCTATAAATACTATTTCTTACCGAAAGAAATGTCTCAATGTTCTCGTGAACAAAGGAAGCAAGATCCTGCCAGTCCAGAATGTCTCCCAGCCAGCTGTTCTGACGATTCACATGCATCTTGTGTCCTTTGTGCCTTCCGGAATGTGTTACATTCTATGGGATAAAACATTTCAGACATGAAAATTTCCATCTTAACCTAGAGAACAAAAGTATGAATGTCCCATTTTGCTTCACTTTGGTTATGTACTCAAAGGTGAAAAGCTTTGCGATATTTAAGAAAGCAGCTAAGAACTCCAACTAAAGGCCTAAAACATTCTTCTGTTTACATTCTAGGTACGATGTCTGAGCCTCGCCCCAGTGCTTCTCTCCTAAATAGATTTGTGAACACACTGTACTCAATATCTGTAACCGCACATCAACACAGCATTTACTTTCATCTTTTCTTTTTAGCCCCTCCACCTTTCCCTTGGTGTCCCATCTTCGCTTTTTTCCTCCTTTCCTCATCCCCCTGATTAATCTTCCCTACAAGATAAAGAGAATGGGGAAGAGAAGAATATGACAAAGAAACAAGAATGGGGGGGGGGGATTGAATTCATCTACCTGGAAGACACGGGCAGAGATGTAGGAATAACTGAATTTGAAAGAGATATAAAAAACGTGACAGGCGAGGCTAAAATTCAGAGGTAATTTCTTAACATTTTCTACACGTTGCCATTCTCCCACTTTGGCTAATGGACTAGTGATACTAATCTCCATTACGTATGCAGAAAGACATTAGGTCCCAGACAAAGAGGTTAAGAAGGCAATATGCAGTCAGCCCTCCACATCTGTGGGTTCTGCCTCCACGGATTCAACCAACTGTGGATCAAAAATATTTGGGGGGAAAAAAATTCCACAAAGTTCCAAAAAGCAAAACTTAAATTTGGCATGAGCTAAGTACTATATTGAATCCACTCACCGAGTAAGTACTATATTGAAAACACGCACATATGGTGATGTATAGGCATTGTATTAGGTATTATAAGTGATCTGCAGATGACTTAAAGTATATGGAAGGATGTATGTAGGGTATGTGGCAAATACAACATTTTGTATGAGGGACTTGAGCATCCCTGGATTTTGTCATCTGTGGAGGGTCTTGGAACCAATTCCCCACAGATACTGAGGGATGACTTGACTTAACCACTTACAAAGCTATACTTATAAGACACTGACCTTCCTCTACCATGAAATGAAGCTCCAAAGAGTAAGAGATAGAAAAAGCTGTTCGTTTGTAAACAGAAGCCCCAGAGTTAGCAAAGGAAATAGATACAACCTTTCTAATTATCTAGTTCTTCAGCAGATGGGATCAAATCTATGATACTCTACATAGATATCCCCTTGGTATTTTTGTTCCCAGTCTTTGAAACCCACAAAAACCAACAATGTTCCCTCAACTCATCCCAGGGCAAAAGCACACAATCCCAAACAGGTCACTAAGCAACAACTTCAAATTTACATTCAGCCCTTCTCCCTCTCCATGCCATGCTGAGAGATTTATAAACACTCAGCTCTCCTTACATCAACCCTAAGAAAAATCACCACCAACTCTGCCCACTGCACACACAGCACAGCTCCTGCTGGCCCACAGGCCCTGCCAGGCCTAGTGCACAGGATGCCCTGGCATAAGCAGCAGCTTTTAAAACCATCAATTTTATACATAATGAAAAATATTATTTTCCATCATAAATTCTACAGTGAGAGTACATAAGCACAAGTAGCATACAAGGTTGATTTAAAATAAAGATCTTTAAACTTTTAGATCTATTTTTACTTCCTCAAAAAGTCCTTAATGTCTACAAGTGTACCATCCAGAACAAGAACAGCTAGCTATGTGCAGTCACTTAAGATGTGGCTGGTCCAAACACTGAGGTGTGCTGTTGGTGTTAAATGCACACTAGATTTCAAAGACTTAGTATAAAAAAAAAGAATATAAAATATCTCCTTAAAATTTTTCTACTGATTAGATATTATGATGATAGTATCTTGAGTATACTGGGTTAAGTAAAATATTATTTAAAAACTAAAACAAGCTGAGTACAGTAGCACACACACCTGTAATCCCAGCCACTTGGGAGACTGAGGGGGGAGGATGGCTTGAGCCCAGGAGTTCAAGAACATCTTGTAGCCTGGGCAACACAGTGAGACCCCTGACTCTTTTTTTTCTCTCTCTTTTTTTTTTTTTGAGACAGCATCTCACATCACAGCTCACTGCAACCTAAACTCCTGGGCTCAAAGTGATCCTCTTGCCTCAGCCTCCCAAGTACCTGGAACTATAGGCATATACCACCAAGCAAGGCTAATTTTTTAAATTTTTAGTAGAGATGGGGTCTTGCTGTTGCCCAGGCTCCAGCTCTTAAAAAATAAATAAATAAAATAAACCTAAACAAGTAAAATTAATTTTAATGTAACTACTAGAAAAATTAATATTACATACATGGCCTGCATTCCATGTCTCTTGCACAGAGCTGGTCTAGAGAATAAGATGTCAATGGTAATGTACAGAGAATATGATACTGACCACCAGCAAGGCTGATAAGTTCAGTCATGGAGATTAACCATCGACTCAAGCTGACTTTTAGTGACATGAGGCTTAAGAGCTTGCTGTTTAAAAATGTCAATAATTGAAATCCCAGTGTGAATACAATCCTATCTAGTCACTGAGTCAATAAAATAAAAGGACTTTATTAGTTTACCATAGAAAACCTTAGCTAAAATAAACTTACCTTTACAAACCAAGAGTGATACAGTCTGTCCCAAAGTTCTAGTACTTGCTTTTCAATTACGGCAGTATTGTTCACCTTATCTCCTAGAATTTTATGAAGCTAGCAGAAACAGATAAAACCTGGTTTAGTATTTTCAGGCAACAATCCAGTAAAATTAATACAGGCTTGGTCTTTAGGTTTGTGCAAAACAAACTAAAATGTTTCAGACTATTTCATTATCTCTAGCCATATTATGTTCTTTTCTTAAACTCTACTCCTCACTATTCCCAGTAAATTTCCTCTCCTTTCTCATCTTTTTGCTTCATTTTTCTTTCTTTTTCCTTGGGTCTCCAAGAGAGCTACTGCAGGCTATCACAGAATGGTGCAAATGACGCCATGATTACTGACTTAGCTGATCTTATCAACCCAGAGAAAAATCTTTTCCCTGTGATGCCAGTGCCCACCTATTATATGTACATCTCATGTTACATTCGTCTCTATTATTAAGAATTATCCCAGAACTTTAGGTAACATTTGAGGACTCTAGCTACTGATCAAACTGGCTTCTGGGTGTATGGAAATGAGGTACAGCGAGCGAGACAACATAACTCAGAGGAAGGTCGTTCGATACAATACCTTACCCCACTTACTTATTAAATCATAGTGTAATATAAAACACGAATACTGACTTATAGTCCCACTTCCTTAATACAACTATTTTCATTTTTCCACTTCCTCTACAACTTTCTTCCTGTCTACAACATAGAGATAATTTAGAATTCTATATTTTCTTTCGCATTATAAGCATTTCACTTTAGCCTTCATCACTTTCATCTTTATTTTTAATGTTTTTAGTTTGTTATGTACCAGTATTATTTAATCATTATCTACTCATTGGATATATATGTGATTCCCAATTTTTAATGTCATTTGTAATACTGCAATGAACATTCTATACACAACTTTTTTTCTTATTACTAGTAGTAAATAAATGTACAGGAATCAAGGGAAATGAGAATTTTAATGGTTCTTGCTTTACATTGCTAAGTTGTCTTCTATAAGGATTGTACCGATTAATACTTTCCAAAATTTAATGAATGAACCAATTTTCCTAAAATTTTATGGACCGATAAAATTTTAAGTAATTTAACACACGTGAAATGCAACCAATTATTTGTTCTTTCCTTCTTTAGTAATGAAAGATTAACCATTTTCCCATGTTAGTTTACAATGTGTATTTCCTTACCTTTTGTCCATCTGATGCTGGCTTTACAGATACAGAACCAGTTATTAGACATACCTGATGCAAATATATCTGCCCAATGTTTTCCTTTATATTTATTTATTCATAAACCACACACAAATTAGTAAATAAAAACCATTTATCTCTGCAAAGTGTTTTACGATTTACAAATGGCTTTCACCTATATTATGTCATTTTTACAACAATCCCAGGAGTTAGACAGAAAAAGGTTTTATCGTCCTTTGTTCCTTAAGATGAGAACAGATTTAGAAAGGGTCTACAGCAAGCCCACGTCATGCAGCTAAATGGCAGAGTCAGGAATCAACATTCTCTAATGTTCTTTCAATTACAACATATATAATACATCTACAAAGAACACCTAACAGAACAAATTACACAAAATGATTAAAGACCACAATTACCCATAGTCTAACTTCCTTCAGTTACTTTAATTAAATATGTCTTTCACATATCACAACTATTAGACACTCACTGAATTCCTGTTACCAATTCTCCCTGTCATTCTCCTGTCAGCTTCTGAGATCTCCCTAACCAGAAGAGGCCTCTAATTGTTACTGTGAGACTCCAGCCTAGGTTGTTCATACACAGTGGCCTTTATTGCAGTAAAGTAGTATTTCAAACCGGCATCTCTTTCAGCAGTCTCCCAACATGACCGTGAATAATTCTAAAATATCACAACTATTAAAGGAGAGTTCAGCATAATTTTGCAGCATGTTACAAAACACTCCAAAACTGTGGTGCTATCAAATATATAACACTACAGACCCAGGATACTGTCCTGTGATATTATAATGCATACTGCAAGTTGCAAGAACAAGGGAGCCAGAGAGTACAGAGTCTAATGGACTTATCATTGTTATTAGAAGAATCACTAAGGCCGGGTGCAGTGGCTCATGCCTGGAATCTGGGAGGCTAAGGCAGGAAGATTGCTTCAAGACCAGCCTGAGCAAGAGCAAGACAAAACATAGAAAAATTAGCTGAATACGGCTGCACAGACCTGTAGTACCAGCTACTCAGGAGGCTGAGGCAGGAGGATTGCTTCAGCCCAGGCATTGGAGGTTGCAATGAGCTATGATGACACCACTATACTCTAGCCTGGGCAACAGAGTGAGATTGCGTCTCAAAAGTTAAAAAAAAGAAGAAGAATCACTAAAACACATGTAGTACTGGTGGAATATGACATGCCTCTGCATAGGAAAAGCAACCACACCTCAAGAGCAGTCAGAATGCCACTTGAGAGCATAACTAACTTAACATCGTCTATACCTTGGGGATGACAAAAGTCAGTGGGCAATTCTCTGTACCCATCTTGCTTGAATCTCAGCAGCCTTTGCCACAGCTGAGCAAGTCTTTCTCGAAACATTTTCTTCTCTAGGTGTCTATGACACTGGTTGGTTTTCCTTTTACCTCAGGGCTGCTCTTCAGTCTGCTGGCTCACTTCTCTGATTTCCACAAGCTCAGTGCTCCAAGTGGCTATCTTTGGTCCTATCTATATTCTCTTCTTAGGCCGTGTTATGGGCTAAATTGTGTCCCCCCAAAATTCCTATGTTGAAGTCCTAACCGCCAATACCTCAGAATGTGACTCTATTTAAATCAGGGTCTTTAAATAAGTGAGTAATATAAAATGTGGTCATTAGGGTGGGCCCTAATCCAGTATGACTGGTGTCCGTATAAGAGGAGATGAGGACATAAAGAGACACAGAGAGGAAACCAATTGAAGACACAGGGAGAAGACGGCCATCTACAAGCCAAGGAGAGAGACCTCAGTAGGAACCAATCCTGCCCACACCTTGATCTTGGTCTTCCAGCCTCCAAAACTGTGAGTAAATAAATTTCCATTATTTAAGCCACGCAGCCGGTGGTATGCTGTTACGGCAGCTCTAGCAAAGTAACAAAGGCCATCTCATCAATCCCGTGGGTACTGTCTGATGATTCTCAAACTGCCATCTACAGCCCACCCAGATCTGTCGCCTAAGCTCCAGCTATGTATGTCCAGTTGCCTTCTCAGTATCTCTACTTAGATATCTAATCGGCATCTCAACCTTAGCATGCCTCAAACACTATTACTGATGCACCCTCAACAGCTAAACACCACCACTACCCTCCAAGTCTTTTCCATCTCAGGAGGTGGCATAGCTGTCCTTCTAGATGAGCAAACCAAAACTTCCTTTCCTTACAACTCCATGTCCAATCCATGAGTAAATCCTGTCAGCACAACCTAAAAAATACATCCCAAATCTGACCATTTTTCTTGATTTCCATTTCTATAATCCTAATCCAAGGCATCAACATCTCTCTCCTGAACCATTAGGACAACCTTTTATCTGGCCTCCCTGACTTCTCTTTTCTTGCCCCCTTCTCCATAAAGCAGCCAAAATGAGCTTTCAACCTTCTAAATCAGGTCTCTCAAATTCACCTAATGTTTACCTTTATAACTAAAATAAAATCCCAACTTCTTGTCATGATTTCTGGTTTGTCTCACTGTCTCATCCCTGGTTCCAGCCACAATTGCCTTCTTTCTGTCCTTCAGTCAAACTCGCTATCATCTCAGAGACTTTGAATTTGCTATGCCCCAGCTTAAAACTTTCTTCTCCCAGATGGTCACAAATTGCTGCCTTCTCATCATTCCAGTCGTAGTGAAAACACTGCATTCTCTGAGACCTTCTGTGTCCACTCCACCTAAAGCATCGTCCCGAGTCAGTCTCTGCCCTGGTCACAGCGCTTATTAGCACCTGAAATTTTTATTTGTTTACATGCTTAATGATTGTCTCCTCTCATCAGAGTGTAAGGGGAGGGTGGTAACTCTGGTTCACTGCTCTTCCCCGAGCACTTACAGCAGTGCCTGGCATGTTTATGGATCAGCTGCCATTTTTGTCACTGTGGTGATGGGAGACGGAACAGAGGATAAACATCCCTTATTCTCTTGCTGTCCCAGTGTAACACCTCCAGGCACAAATCTTAGAAAGGGCATCAAGCAGAAAGGACAGCTCAAGCAAGGATGCTGAGCAAGGAAAGCAAACTGGGAGGCCCCAGCAGAAGCTAAACAAACATACAGGAAATGGGAGATAAGGCTGACAAAGAAGGCTGGGACAGAGACATGGGAACCTTACCTGAACACATCCTAAAAAACTCTCCTTTTCTGGGCATCATATTTTTTCCTACCTTCAGCACTCTCTAGCCTTTAGCCCTTAGGACCCAATTCTCACATGATTCTTATCTGGGTAAGATCTGAGACTTATTAGAAAGCTACCTCTGCAGTCTTAATGTGTATGTGTGTTTTTTTTTTAACAACTTTACTGAGATATCTATCATTCACACACCTCCCAACTCCGCTGTTTAAGTATACGATGCAATGTTTTTTAGTACATTCATAGTTATACAGTCATGACCACAGTTAATTTTAAAACATTTCCATCATCCCAAAAGGAAACCCCATACTCAACAGCAATCAGTCGCCATTACTCCCCAGTCCTCCCTACACCTGAAAACCACAACTCTACTTTCCGTCTCTATTGATTTGCCTCTTTGGGACATTTCACAAAAAAGGAATCATACATATGTGGTCTTTTATGATTGCTTCTTTTACTTAGCCTAAGTTTTCAAGGTTAATCCACATTAGCATTTGTCAGTACTTCCTTCCTTTTTATGGCTGAATAATATTCCATTATATAAATCTATCGCTTTTGCCTTTTCCATTCATCAGTTGGTGAACATACAGTGGTTGTTTTTAGATATTATCCGTGTCTTCTAAATCAGGATCACAAGCAGTTACCATTTTTGTTATCAATGCCCATCCCTCTTCAGTTGTCCTCCTTTTTAGAATCTTGAACGAAAGGTTTCATACTTGTCTTTTCTCTAAGTTGAACTCTACTTCTTTAAAAATCCAAGGCACATTTCTCCTGCTACCCAAAATTCCCTTTCATTATCCTCTTCTCAAAAAGGTAAACATTCCAGAATAAAAATTCTTCCCTAATAGATAAACCAAGAATTAAATGCTAGGCTTTCAGCAAAATAACATTTCTACAAGGCTAAAACACCTTCTGCAATGGCTGGATCTTCTTCTTTGAGAGTTCTGAGATCTGTAGCCACATACTTATCTTTCACTTATTCAATAAATATTTTTTAAAGGCTTGCCAAAAGATTGTTATCTAGGATAGACCCCAGACAATCAATAACATATCTTTCTCTTCACTTTTAATTTGACTATGATTCCATCTTTATGGTAACAGACTACCATACATGTGTGTATAGTATATCCTCCATTACATCTTTTTGAGATTTTTGCTTTTGAATTTTGAATAAGGAATCACATACTAGTACATTTCTCTGAGCACAGGTCTCACTGCAACAAATCTTGTCAATCTCTACATGATCTTAATTACTTCAGTATATTAAAAATGCAAATTACCATTATTCCCATAGGTAATGCTGATGACTGGGGAGAGGAGAAAAAGACATCCCAAATCCAGTGTGGAGTCTAATCCTTAACTGTCTTTTCCTCTATCATTCATTTATTTCCCCTTCACAAAGCTCCCTCCACTTCAGTCAAGAGCATTTCCTCAAGCACACTCCTGTCTCTGCATCTCGGCTCACATAAATACCCTTCTTAATATCCACTCTTCCTTGATCTGTCATTCCTTTAAGGTTTATCTCAAGTGCCATGTTAAAGCACTTAATCCAGTTCTGGGCACACACTGCCAGCATACTGCAGTAGAAAGAAGGGATTTGGAGTTACTCCTCAGTTTGAAACCAAGCTCTGCAATTTACTGCAGGACCACTGGGAATTTACTCAGCTTGCTGAGTCTGTTTCCTCATCTTTAGACCCACTGATCTAAAGGCAAAATAATTCAGACTACCGCAGTTTTCTTGGAAAGGTTAAATGAAACTAATTGGAAACTGCCAAGCACAGTTACCTACAGAAATAGGATTTATTATGCCTTAATATCTTTTTCTCCAGAAAGCCTTATTTGACCACCCAAGTTGAGTGATCATTCTGTCCTAAAGCACAAATAATGAATCAGATCTATTTTGAAAAAAAAGCAAACAACCAACCTCTCAGATTGTTCAGGCTATTAACACTATTGAATGTGGTCATCCAGAAGGTTTAATTTCACTGTATGTTGCTTACTGACCTATACATTTATGCCTATTTCAAAAATGGAAATTGTTGTAAATAAAATCTCTATTCATACTTTATCAAAGCAACAGCCACTATCAGTAAAGACCCTACAAAGAGAAAGCCACAAAGAAAGGCTCTTCCCTTACCTTGTGGGTTATCCATTCTCGTCCATACTGATAGACATTGTTAGCTGCAGAATTCAGGGCTCTTTGGACTACCTGAGCCTCAGGAAGCCAACTAATTTAAAACAAAGAAAAGATGCAAAAAGAACACTTAGTGCACTGTACCAATATCACTTTGAACTTGATGATGTACTTAAGCAATCATAACAAATTGCTGATCAGTCATTAATACACAGATACGAATGCATCATGAGCAGGAATCCTTGACTTCCAGGCCTTAATGGCATGATGTTAACACTCAGGGTGTCCCTTCAATTTTTTCTTAGCTTTTAGACCCACTTTCCCCACAACCTCCCTTTCATTCTGCCTAACTTCTCTGTCCATACATATCCTGGGTCATCTGCCTTATTCAATACCAGGGAAAATGGTTCTGGGACACTAGATATTCAGATGGGGTTCCCAAAGTACGGTCCACAGATCAGCAGGATTAGAAGTGCTTGGAAACCTGTTAGAAACGAAAATTCTTGGGCTCAACCCCAAACCTACTGAAATAGGAACTCTGGAGCCAGGGCCCACCTGTGTCTTAACCAGGTGATTCTGATGCATGCTGAAGTTTGAGAACCACTGATCTAAGGAAGTGAAGAACTGAGAAAGAACACAGAAAATTAAGAGGGAGAACAATTGTTTTAAATTTTTTACCCATTGAAGATCTTCTTAAGATGGAAAGAACTCCTGAGCAGAGTTTCAGCTACACAAGGAACTAGTCTACAAGCTTTCCTTGTTATGTAGTTAGTGGAGGCCACTCCCCATTTTCCTGTTGACTAAGCAGGCTGCACCATATACCTTAATCAAGAATCCTTCTCATATGCTCAATGTTCTCCATAATAGAAAACATGTTCATATACTATCTAAATTGTTCTTCACAATACAATATACTAGAGATGCTGACATTCGCAAATGTAACAGTCCTGATTTCAACTATTCACAAGTGATGTCAACAGGCCGGGATAAGCAGTAACTAGTCATTCATTTTTCTGAGGCCCAAAAGTGACTACAAAGCTGCCATATGGGAAATAGTCAACCAATTACAGTTATGTTAAATGTGCAACAACCTCAACTCATGGAAATTTTCTGTGCTTATGTGGGTGCGTAAGAAAGATGGTCATAAAGAGAAAGCCAACTGCCACTGACAGCCACAAACGTCATGGTGCCTAGAAAAGTGATCTTCTTTAACCAGGGAGAGAAAATAAGGTATTCTGAATAAATTTAAAAATGAAATGTCAAATCAGTAGTGGTTTGAATCTTAAGTATGAACCAGTTTGTCCACTGCAAATGAACTTAAAGTATTTGTGAAACTTACTGGCAAATTACTCAGTCAGTTCAAATATCTCTCAGCAAATAAGACAGAATTTTAGAGTGATAATTCACAAGCAATAATTTTACAGTACAAGGATATGGACAGGAAATTTGGATTTCTAAACAAATGTTATTTGGGAGAAATTAAATTGCTTTTAAATTACTTTAATATTTATAGATCTATCAGGGGTATGAAAAGACTGCTAAATATTTTCAGTTATATGGTATTACACTTCTACGGGGAAAATATCCTGCAGTGTTATTCCAAAGTGTGGGATAAGTATCTGGATAGATCCTTAACGATCAACAAACATCTATGAGGCCTGGGAGAAAGTCTTGTTGGCTGCTGTGAAAACACTTTGCCAGTGTACTCACACAGGTGTCCTAAGAGCAAGAGATGAGAGGAGCTGTTATGTGGCCAAGTCAAAGGCACTGGCTCAGTCCCCACGCCCCCTAACACCCCCCCCCCGCCCCCCGCAGGAGACACAAGGCCAGAAACAGCTGAGCAACCTTAGCTGGGATGATCTGGGATGTGCCTCAACCTCACACCACCTACAGCCCCTAAACTGAGTTCCTTCCTTGGCTATTCACTACCTCAGCCAATCACTAACTCACTACTCTAAGTTAAGGGGGATCCCTCAGCAGAAACCAAGTCCCTACAGTTTGGCCTGGGCTACCCGTAACACTCCACTTAACACTTACTACGGGCTCCTCAAATACCACAGGAAAAAGATGAATTATTTTCCTCACCAAATCTGCTCCTTTATTTCCTATCTTGGTGAATCCACCATTATCCACTAATCTCCAAAGCTGGAAACCTGAGTTATGTTAGGTTTTTTCCTCCCATATCCAGTTAATCACCAAAGAATCCCCTTAAGATCTTATAAATCTGTCCTTCCTGTTCACCCCAGTATAACTGTCTACAATTCAGGGGCTCATCACCTCTCATTTGTTTTACTCTCAGAACTTTTAACTGGTCTCGAAAGCTCAAGTCTTGTAACCCTTCCATCTTTCCTCCACAATGCAGATGGAAAGACTATTCTAGAATTAAATCTGATGATGCCACTTCTCTTCTTATATTCTTTTTTTTTTTGAGACAGTGTCTCACTCTGTCATCTGGGCTAGACTGTAGCAGCGTCATCATCGCTTACTACAACCTCAAACTGCCAGGCCCAAGCGATACTCCTGCCTCAGCCTCACGAGTAGCTGGGAATACAGGTGTGCACCACCATACCCAGCTGAATTTTTCTACTTTTTTGCAGAGATGGGGTCTCGCTCTTGCTCAGGCTGGTCTCAAACACCTGACCTCAAGCAATCCTCCCGCCTTGGCTTCCCAAAGTTCTAAGATTATAGGTGTGAGCCACCAGGCACCTGGCCTCCTCTTATATCTTTAATCAAGATAACGAACGTATCTATCACTCCTAAGTTTCCTTGCATCCTTGTGTAAGCCCTCCCTAGAGCCCTACCCCACTCTAATCCAGAGGCAATCACCAATCTTTCTGTCACTACAGATTAGTTTGCATTTCCTAGAACTTTCCATAAATGGAATCATACCATATGGACTCTTTTTTGCCTGAATTCTTTCACTCAGTATACTTATTTTGAGATTCATCCATGTTGGTGCACGTATGAGTTCATTTTTATTTAATGCCGTGTAATATTCCACTGTATGGACATACCACAATTTGTTACTAACAAGAACTATTGAGGAAAAGTACTTTTGAGTATGCCCTGGGTAATATAAGAATATTCAAACATCATTCTAAACCAAGTTCAAGTACTGTCCTAAGCAGATCTTATAAAAAGGAATAAAGGCCAGGCGTGGTGGCTCACGCCTGTAATCCTAGCTCTCTGGGAGGCTGAGGCGGGCGGATTGTTTGAGCTCAGGAGTTCGAAACCGGCCTGAGCAAGAGCGAGACCCCATCTCTACTAAAATTAGAAAGAAATTAATCGGACAACTAAAAATATATAGAAAAAATTAGCCGGGCATGGTGGCGCATGCCTGTAGTCCCAGCTACTCGGGAGGCTGAGGCAGGAGGATCGCTTGAGCCCAGGAGTTTGAGGTTGCTGTGAGCGAGGATGACGCCACGGCACTCTAGCCTGGGCAACACAGTGAGACTCTGTCTCAAAAAAAAAAAAAAAAAAAAAGGAATAAAGTAGAGGCAAAGGAGAAAATCATCTTAAATCTCAATTTAAAATCCTAAAATTGGCAGAGTAATTCCTAACTACAATTTGTGACTATACTGAGGGTTAGTAAAAAAAAAAAAATAGCAGGTCATGCAATCTGCCATTAAGTTCAACTAAGTGAATAGCATAGCTCTGCTAAACATTCCCCACAAAGAGATAAAACTCTTCTTACAGAAGCAAAATTAAACAAGTACACAAAGAGACCCTCTAAGACAAGGATCAGCAAGCTTCTTCTGTAAATGGCCAGAGAGTAAACATTTTAAGCTTTGCAGAACATATCTCTGCCACAACTACTCCATTCTGCCTGCCCTGTAGTCCTGAAACAGCCAGAGATAATGTGTAAATGAATGGGCATGGGTGTGATCCAATAAAACCTTATTTACCAAAACAGGTAGCTGAATTTGGCCCTGGGCCATAGTTTGCCCACTCTTCCTCAAAAATAATGCTATATGGGAATATGTCAAGAATTACATAGAACATGTCAAGAATTACATTGCAGGGTTATTGTTTCCACATGTTACAGTGGACAGTTCCCTTCAGTTGGTTGCAAGCACTGGTTATAAGTGCTGACTCTTCCACTGGGGGATTATTATCTCAGCTTCCTTAACCTTTGGTCTTATTTCCTCATCTGTGAAATAAGAAGAATCTCTTCAATCTACCTCAAACAGTCACTGTGAGGAACAAACATAAGGTAGGTCAAAGTGCTTTGTAAATTATAAACACGCTGTAAACTGTAAATTTCAATTAAAATATATCATGCACCATAAATTGTTCCTAAAATACTAAGCACTTTTCTCTCCTCCCAACCCCAGTATTATATGCCTACAGGCCATTCTTCTGCAAAAATGACAGTATTTATCAAAGCTTTGGCAAACTCTATTTCCGAATGTAGCTCCATCAATGAAGATCATCCATGCAAACAGATGCTGAAACTAGGTCATCCATCACTAGTCTTTTTCAAAACAATATTCTTACTTTGCCCACTCGGGGTGATTTGCTAGAGTTTCATTAATCAGATTACTTGTGACTTCAATCATGTGTACACTCTCTTGATGCACCTGTATTACAAATAAAGAGAGAAAAGAATCTCAGTAAAAAATAAACTCAACATTTTCCTACTGTATTACAGGAACAATGCTTTTAGAGTCAAAAAATTATATGATTTAGTTCTAATTCATTTAGAAACGTGCACCAAAACATTGTTATACATGATGTCCTGCAATAAACACTGTAGGAAATACAAAATACATGACAGCTCCCTGCCTTCAAGAAGCTCAACAATTTACTTCAGGAAAAAAATACATAATTAGATATGTACATATACTTAACACATATAAATACATTTAGTTCACATATGTATCTGTGGGAATAAGCTGTATATTTGTGTATCTATGTAAACAACACCAACACTACATGAGCTAACAGAATTATAATGTAGTACAAGACATACAGGCAAAAATAAGCAACTGAGTAAGGTTTCTGAGTAAAACAAAGCCAACTGAAACTGCACCTCTGAATGTACCTTGCCCAATAACCAACAAAATGAGGGAGATAAAAAAGAAACCAAGCAGTTAAAAAATTTTTTTTACCCAGGACACCTAAACAAGAAATGAAGCATAATTTGATACAATTTACAACAGCAATCAGGCAAAGAAACAAAACATTCTGGAGCACAACAAAGAAGTATAGCAGTTAAAACTGACCCCCACACCCAGAAGCCATACAGGCGAGCTGACAAATTCTTTAGATTCACATGTAACACACAGAAAAGAAACCATATTCTTATCCTTTCCTGGGAAGGAAAAGAAACCATAGTTGGGGAGAAGAGGATAAATCAAAAGAAGGAGATCAACAGTCCTCCACTCACCCATCTTCTGTTTCTCTCCCTCCCTGCAGTGGAAGTTCCAGAGTATACAAGGAAGTGGGGGAAACAGTACAAAGATTGAGGGTATTTTCTCATGGGGATGGGTATAACCTTACAAAGTGGCAAAATCCCTAGGGCAAGTCACATACAAAACCCAGAACCGAACAGTGTCTAGGTATCCTAACAAAGGCATACAGAACCACCTAAGCCTATTTCCAATTGTATCTGGACCCAGAAAAGCAGGGAGAACGCAAAAAACAAACTGTAGCTTAAAAGGGAAAATAAACTGATTTCGGAAACAATGGGGAGAGAATCAACTCAAATACAACACCTGAGAAAAAGCCAGATCTAGTAAGGTCCCACAAGTTCTAGTGAGGAATTTAGCTTTCATTTTGTGGGATATGGGAAACCATGGAGGACTTTAAGCTTAAAAGTGACATAATCTTAAATTTTTAAAGTAAAGTAAATTTGGATGCTGTGTCAACAACAGACTAAATGAGGCAAAGGGTGGAGATCACTTAGGAGGGTACTACAATAATTCAAGACAGAATGGGGATAGCTTTGAGTAGGTGGGGGGGAGGGGGTAAGGGGAAACTTCACCTTCCACACCATCCCCCCCAAGAAAAAATATAGGTAATTATGTTGAGGGGCAATAAATGGTTACTAGGGAGAATGCAATAGATACTTGAGAGAATGAATGGATGGGGATAAACAGATTGACTTGAAAATTAACCTGAGAGGTATTGTGTTTAAAATGATTTGGGCCAGGTCTAGTTGCATTCTTCATTTTCTTTCCTGTAATATACTGAGATAACAGGGAAGGGAAGGGAAGTCCACTGTTCTTGTGATGGTCCATCTGGTTATGCAGATAGAAAGTCCCTTTCAAGGGCCTGTTAATCTCTAAAGGCCTTTAATTCAAAATACCAAGGAATCATATTTTGGGATGAAATTTCCTGAGCTCTTTCAAAGGGCAATAGTGGTAGTGATGGTAAAAAGTGATTGGATTCAAGATATATCTTAATCAATTGACTACTGGAAATTAAACCAACCTTGCACTCCAAAAATAAACCTCACATAGTTATGGTATATTATCCTTTTCATATACTACTGAATTTAATCTGTTCATGTTCTGTTAACAATTTTTGTGTTTGTTTTTAAGGAATATTGGTCTGCAGTTTCTTTTCCATGAATGTCCTTGACTTTGGTATCTGGGCAATACTGGCATCATAAAATGAACTGCTAAGTGTTACTTCTTCCTCTGCTACCTAAAAGTTGTTGTGCAGGACAAGTATTATTTCTTCAATAAATGTTTCATAAAATTCACCAATTTTATTAACATTAGCACCTGAACTCTTCTTGGCAGGAAAATTTTCAAACACTAATTCAATTTCTTTTCTTGATATAGGGCTACTTGGTTTTTCTACTTCTTCTTGAGTCGTTCTATTTCTTTCTTACAAGTAACTTCTCTATTTAGTCTAAGTTACCAAACTTGTTGGCATAAAGTTGTTCACAATATTCCTTTGTTATCTTTTTAAGATCTGTGAGCTACATAGAGATGTCTCTTCTTTCTTATTTGATATCAGTAATTTATATCTTTGTTTTTCTTGATCTGGCTAAAAATTTATCAATTTTATTTATGTTTTTCAAAGAACCAGGTTTTTACTTATATTAACATTTTTTTCCTACTGTTTCTCCATTTCCAATTTCATTGAATCACACTTGATCTTGATTATTTTCTTCCTTCCATTTACTTTGGATTCATTTGCTCTTCTTTGCTAGCTTCTTAACATGGAAGCTTAAATCACTGATTTTTTTTTCTAATATAATCATTTAATGCCACAAAAGTTTCCTCTCGGCATTGCTTTAGCTGCATCCCACAAATTTTGATAAGCACTAATTTTCATCCACTTCAAAATATTCTCTTTTCCCTTGTTGCTTCAATTCACAGATTTAGAAGTATGTTGCTTAAATTCTAAATATTTGGGGATTTCCTAGATTACTGTTACTGATTTCTAATTTAATTCTGTTGTGTCAGAGAACATGCTATGTTTTTAATATTTTCAATTTATTGAGCATATTGTTATTCTGGCAAGTGTTCCATGTTTACTTGAAAAGAATGTAATTCCTAATTGTCAATTAGGTCAACTTGACTAAAAGGGGCTTCTAAATATCTTTATTGATATTCTACCTACTTATTCTCTCAATTATTACAAGAGGAGTCTTGAATCCCTAACTATAATCATAGATTTGTCTATTTCTCTTTTTCATTCTGAATGTTTGATTTCATGTATTTTAGAGTTCTGTTGTTAGGAGTATACACACTTATAATTGTTATGGCAATATTAACTCTTAGCCTTATTAAAAGTCTTCGTCTCTAGTAATATTTCTTTTTGAAAATCTATTTTGTCTGATATCAATATAATGACTCCTCTTTCCTGTTTACAGTTTGTAGTGTAACTTTTCCAATACTTTTAGTATCAACCTTTTTGTGACTTTGAATACAAAATGTGTCTCTCATAGATACTGTATAGTTGGAACTTTCTTTTTGTATCCAGTCTGACAATCTCTGTTTTTTGAATGGAGTATTTAGTTGCTTCTCATGTAATATAAGCATTGACATGATTGGATTTAGGTCTGCCATTTTGCTATTTGCTTTCTATTTGTCCGGTGTCTATTTTTGCTCCTGTCCTGCCTTCTTTTGTGTTCATCAAATATTTTTTAGTACATCATTTTAGTTTCTCTAAACTCACATTATTTAGTTGCTAACTTATCACATCTTTAAATTTACCACAATCTACTTCAAGTTAATATTGACTTATATCCAGTAAAATATTTATAAAAACTTCACACCGGTAGAGTTCCATTTCCCAGCCCGCTTCTTTGTGCTATGGTTTTATATGTGTATAGTTTATTTATGCATGTTATAAAGTCCACAATACAGTGCTATAGTTTTTCTTTAAAGAGTTGTACATTGTCTAAATAAACTAAAAGAAGAGAGGGGAAAATACAACTTTTACATTTACCCATGTATTTACCATTCCTTCCTCTTCATTCCTTCCTTCGGATCCAAGTTATTTCTGGAGTCATTTCTCTTCAGTCTGAAGGAATTTCTTCTGCATTTCTCATAGTGTAGATCTATCAATGAATTCTCTCAGTTTTAGTTTATCCATAAATATTTTTCTTTTGCCTTTATTTTTAAAGAGTAGTTTCACTGAACACAAAATTCTTGGTTGACAGAGGTTTTTCCCCGTGACTTTAAATACATCGTACCAATGTCTTTTGATATTGACTGTTTATTTATGAGAATTAAGTCATTAATTTTGTTATTCCCTCTATGTGTGACGTGTAATTGTTCTCTTGCTTCCTTCAAGTCTTTATCTTTGGCTTTTGACAGTTTGATTATGGTGTGTCTGGGTACAACTTTGTGTTTGTGTGTGTTTATTCTACTGAAAGTTTGTTGAGCTTCTTGGGACTGTTAATGTTTTTTACCAAACATGGAAGTTTTTTTTTTTTTTTTTTTGAGACAGAGTCTCACTGTGTTGCCCGGGCTAGAGTGCCGTGGCGTCAGCTTAGCTCACAGCAACCTCAAACTCCTGGGCTCAAGCAATCCTCCTGCCTCAGCCTCCCGAGTAGCTGGGACTACAGGCATGTGCCACCATGCCCGGCTAATTTTTTCTATGTATTTTTAGCTGTCCGATTAATTTCTTTCTATTTTTGGTAGAGACGGGGTCTCGCTCTTGCTCAGGCTGGTCTCGAACTCCTGAGCTCAAACGATCCGCCCGCCTCGGCCTCCCAGAGAGCTAGGATTACAGGCGTGAGCCACCGTGCCCGGCGAAACATGGAAGTTTTTGACCACTGTTTCCTCAAATAATTTTTTCTACTTGTTTCTCTTCCTCTTGTCATCTTCTGGGACATCAATTATAAGCCTGTTAGAATGTCTGATGTTGTCCCACAGCTCTCTGAGACTCTGCTCATCTCCAGTTGGACTTGGCAATGATTTCTTAGTTATGACACCACAAGCACAGATAGCAAAGGCAAAAATAGACAAATGGAACTATATCAAACCTAAAGGCTGGGCACAGTGGTTCACGCCTATAATCTCAGCACTTTAGGAAGCAAAGGCGAGAGGATCACTTGAGCCCAGGAGATCAAGACAAGCCTGGGCAACATAGCAAGACCCTGTCTCTAAAAAAGAAAAAAGAAAGGAAAGAAAGAAAAAATAAAAAAACCTAAACACATCTGTGCATCAAAGAATACCTTCTTCAGAAAAAGCTGCAGGTTTTTGCTGCCCAAGATAGAATAGCTCCAAGAAAGAAAGCCAAAACTACCTGTCTTTACCAAAGAGAGTAGGAGCTTTTCATTATTAAACACTCCCCCAGTTGTTGCCTACCTGGTCATTTTCTAATGCCTTTAAATGGTGTTTGTAATAATTTTATGCTGCTTTATTCTTGATCTCTGTGGAGAAGAATTACCCGACACCCTCGCCCTGCTATTACCCCCAAAATTTATTAGCAAGGTGGCAGAAAAAGGATTTTCTGACAAATTGGATGTGGATACAAAACAAAGAGAGTAGTCAAGGATGATCCTGCAAATTTTCGTCTGAGCAAGTAGAAGAATAGAGTCGTCATTTAGTAAAATGGGAAGACTATGAGAAGAACAGATGAGCAAAAGGAGGTCTGGAATTCAGTTTCTGACATGTTACATTTGAGATGTCTTTTACACATTCAAAAGTGACACTGTCATGGATGTTCTGAAGAACGACGCATTTACTGACTGGGACAATTAATTTGATAACCAGTATTGTTCCCTCAAAAGCTCAGTTTGCATGAATCCTAGACCAGAAAGAAATGGTTCAGTAATATGTGTTGTCAAAGTTCAGGGAAGAAAAGCTCACTGAAGCAAAGGATAAACAAAGAAAAAGGACTTAAAAGATAAAATCGAGATGGGCAGGGCAAAAAGGCCCTATGTAAAGGGACAAAGAAGGGAAAGTAGAATAGAAGAGTAAGAGAGAAGAAAAAGAAAAATAAAACAGCATACTGACGAAAGGATTCTCTAAGAACTAGAATCGAACATGGCATAGTAGCAGGTTTAGGCAAAATATGACAAAAAGGCCTCTAAATAAGTCTGTAGAATATATTAATATATAAGTGACTAAACGTAATTAATGCCCAAAGAATAGATAGGAACTGCACAGAGACTGAAACAGAAGTACTAAGAGAGCAGGCTGACAAAAGCAAATAAGTTTGAGGGTATAATGAGGCGAAGACTGAGAACAGGACTTCTAAGTGGAGAGACCACATAACAAGAAACAATATAATTCTTTTTCTTTTTTTCCTAGGACCAGCAGGCAAGAACAACAATGCAATTCTTTAGCAAACTGCTACATATTAGAGTATCTATCAATAACAGTTACTCACACATCTCTACAGGCCTACGGGCATAAGAAAAATTTTCATATCTGTGATTTCTTGTAAGCTTCACAATTCTCTGAAAACAACATACCAAAATCTGGGATGTAGAATTCAGCAGAGTTCAGATAAAACAAAGATTAAAACGTAATATAAAAGTTAAAAAAAAAAAAAAGGGCCAGGAGCAGCAGCTCTCGCCTATAATTTCAGCGCTTTGGGAGACTGAGGCAGGAGGATCACTTGAGTCCAGGAGTTCAAGACCAGCCTGGGCAACATAGCAAAATCAATCTCTACCAAAGAAAAAAAAATTTAATTAGCCAGGTGTAGTAGCACCTGTACTCCCAGCTACTCAGGAGGCTGAGACAGGAGGATCACTTGAGCCCAGGAGTTTAAGGCTGCAGTGAGCTGTGATCACAACATTGTACTCCAGCCTGAGTGACAGAGCAAGACCCTGTCTCAAAAAAACCCCACAAAAAAACCACACTAGTCAGTAATAGATATCACCATAGAGATAAAATTTTAGCTTCACTTTGGAGAATAATTTTCTTTGATGAGATGAAAGGGGCGAGAGGAAATGTAAGCTGGAAGGACCTGGGAAGCAAGAAATGAAGATCCTATGGTATGTTAGCAGAAGGACCAATGAGACAGGAAGGGAAGTATCTAATTAAGAAATGCTGATCTAGTGAACAGGGTACTAACTGGATTAGGACTCATGAGACCAGATCATAATTCTTCTATTAAAAAAACAAAAAAGCCACTTGTTCTTCAGTATCTCACTTTTTTCATCTGCATTTACCCTTGAGGATTTTGAGATAAAATAATAATGTAAAAGAGATTTGAAAATAAAATATACTAGGCAAATTCATAGCAAAATTAGCAATACACAAATTATAAACACTTTAGCTGTTATACATATTTATAAGCCAAGTAACATTTTTCATGCTGCTTTTGCAATCTTCTTATCTATACTACCATTCTAACAATTAAGAGTATTAATGAGAATAGTAATTGTTGTACTCTACCTTTGCGGTCAGGAGTAGGGCTAAAAGAAGGGTTCCTATCACTAACAAAAATATGATGAAAATGCTAATTATTTTATCTAACATCCTCTCCAACCAGATGATCATCTGCACAAAAATGAGAAAGAGAATTACTTATCTTTAAAGAACTTACTAAAAACATATATATATTCAAATATCATGAAGACAAAATAGGATATTCAGCATTGCAAAGCAAACTATGGCATAATGATTAAAGCAAAAAAAAGCAGTAAGCAACTTCAGAAATTTAACTAACAGTATTAATTACTGCTGTTGTTATTATTGTCATGTGTAAGAAAAGGCAGTTAATTTGACCATATCCTGTATCTATGTTTAAATTCACATACTGTAGTATCACTTCAAGTTATAATTTTTAACCTGGTAAATATTCTAAACAAAATAATGACAACTCATTAGCCGACATAAAATCACATAAAGTTGTACTATCGATTAGCAAATAGAAATGACGTTAGCAAAAGTATGACCCTTACAATACAGGTATGTCCTAAAATACACAGATAAAATAGAAATAAGTTAGAATAGGAATTACATTCAAAATGTTTTTTTCCCTTTGATATCATTAGGGTTATGAAAGCAGTAATAATAAAAACCTTATGTTAAGGCAATGATAAACAGTGAATTCGGGATAACAGATACCCTGAGGGAGCGGGGGGTTGGGAGGTGGGGACACTTCGGGGGGGGCACAAAACAGGCTTCAGTCATGTACGTGGGATCATCAAGCTGGGGGGTATACAAACAGGGGTTCTTTACATCTTTTTATATATCAAATATTTCATAATGAAATGTTTTGTGAAATCCGACATTCTACTCAAAGTTTCTATCCTTTCCAAAACATGAGCCTTAGGGCATAATTATAGTTATGTGATATAAATTAAAAGTAATCAATGTAGTAACTGCTCTTCAATCAATAATTAAAATTCCACTATCTCTAAATGCTATTTGACATTCTATCTTGACTGTAACTTTCCTCATCTTTCACAATCACAAATAATCCTTCATTTTAAACAATTTGTTTTCAGAATATATAATTCTGACAGATTTCCAGAATTTGTGTCATGCAAAGCTACCACCTAACATTTCAAAACTACATTTAATTAATGACTTGCACCCCTCACACCTCAACCCCAACATGAGCTACAGCATTGCTAAATAAATTATTCTTCATTTAAGTCTGAATCATTCTCTCCAAACAGTGAATTAAACATCCAAGAGCAAAGAATATTGGTTAAAAACACGACTTCTAAAACATTTTCTACTCAAGGCTTATGAGCTTGTTCCCAGCCTTATCTATCTTTAATGAAGGACACTGTCACTAAAAGATCAATGCTATCATGAACTCAAAGATAAAAAGTTAATCTTTAATCTTGACAGTAACAGCTTCAAACAGAAGAGTTAATTTTCAGTGCATGCTACCAAAGCATCAAAGACAACGTAGAGATTAAAAAAAGAAACAAGTATTTAAGATATGGAAGGTCAGATGTCGTATTTTGAAGGTAAATTCTAAAATCAATGAAGCTAAAAAGTTTCACAATCAGGAACCAACTGAATATCTAGTTCTTGAGACAGCTTTCCCAAGAAAGGGCTAGCACTATATCATTCCTCTTTGTATCTCCAAAATCTAACAGTACACAGCATGTGGTAAGCATTAGATTACAATATGTTTGAATAAGTAGGCATAAATAAGATTTCATAATTAAGACCAGATTTGTATCAACAAATTATAATTTCTGAAAATAACATAGAAGACTTTTTTTTTTCCAGAAAAATCATATCCTGGAATGTATTTTTAAATGTATATAATGTTCTATTTAGAAAGTATGGATCTCTAACTTTATGTCTGAGTATTTTTAACATATAAAACGTAGAATATTCAAAAGCATATCATGTACAATCGACATTATAAAATCAAACTATATTTTTAAGCTAAGGTAAAATTTTCCTATCACAAGCCATACACCCAAGGGTTGGAAAAAATTCACACTGAGTCATCTAAATAAAAATGTAGGACAGGCGCAGTGGCTCATGCCTGTAATGCCAGCACTTTGGGAGGCTGGGTCGGGAGGATTGCTTGAGGCCAGGAGTTCAAGAACAGCCTGGGCAATAAAACGAGACTCTGTCTCTACAAAAAATAAAAAAATTAGCTAGGCATGGTGGCAAGCACCTGTAGTCCTAGCTATGGGAGGCTGAGGCAGGAGAATTGCTTGAGCCCGGGAGTTCAAGGTTACAGTGAGCTATGATCATTCCACTATACTCCAGTCTGGTTGACAGAGTGAGACCCTGTCTCTAAAAATAAAAATAAAAAATAAAAAATGAAGTATCATTCCACTGCTGAGTTTCTCTTCTGTTTCATTATTCTGGGCCTATAGGTTTTTGTTTTGCTTTAGGGTTTTTTGTGTGAGTTTTTCTGAGACAGGGTCTTGCTCTGTTGCTTGGGCTAGAGTACAGTGGCATCATAGCTCACTGCGACCTCAAACTCTTGGGCTCAAACGATCTGCCTGCCTCAGCCTCCTGAGTATGCCATTGCTTTGTTTTTTAACCAAATTCTAATTGAGTCTTAGTGCAAATAATCACTACTAAGAAATAAAATAATTCAGCTGTAATAGAGAGGTTTCATTTCATTTAACCATAAGATACGTGCTTTCTTACCCTCTCTTCTTTTCTTGGTTTCCTAATTCACTCCACTTAAACTTTTTACATACAAAAATTATTCAATGTTGCAATTTTCTAACCTTGGATATAATGTAATAAAATAAGCCCTCAACTTATTTTATGTGCTTTCCTTGAACATACACACTCAGAATTTTCCAGGACTTACTCCAACCGTACAGCAATGCTTTATCTATGCTACACGGTATCATTAAAGAAAATGAAAAAAAGTTACTTGATCTCTTAGAAATCTTTTAAAAGTAACTCAACTATTCGGCTATGAATTAGGCTCATAAATTAGGTAATCTAACTCAGTCCACTAAAGGTTAAATCAAATTCAACCTAATGAATTTAACTCTCCTTTCTCCGATCTCTTGAAGACAATTTCATTTAAACATACACAAATTTGGGACACAAAACCACCTACTTTGATCAAAATAAGAAAAAGTGTCAGGTGTGATGGCTTGTGCCTCTACACCTAGCTATTCAGGAGGCTGAGGCAGGAGGATCGCTTGAGTCCAAGAGTACAAGACCAGCCTGGCAACACAGAAGACTCTGTCTCCAAAAATAAAAAAGATTAGCCAGACATGGTGTGTGCCTATTGTCCCAGCTACTCAGGAGGCTGAGGTGGGAGGATCCCTTGAGCCCAGGAGTTTGAGGAGTTATGGTTGCACCACTGCACTCCAACCTGGGTGACAGAGTGAGACCCCATCTCTAAAAATAAATAAATAAAATGAGACTTATGTTTGCGCATCATTTGTCAAGGATTGAACTCATTTACCCATAACTAGTTTTATAAGGAATGGAGGTATATAGAACCATGCATGTTGGGAGAGGGGGAGGATTTATTTTGAATTAAAAATATTGCTTGTTTTTAATCCAAAATTTAACACTTTAGGCATTATCATAAATCTCTCCTTTCTTCCATTTCAACAGAAAAAATGAAATCCTAATCTTTATGTTCAAAAGTCTCATTTTGACCTTTCGAGAAGTACATCTTTCTTAAGGCCTGCTGTAATTTTTTTCACTGAAGACTTTTTAGAGTCTTATTATGTTTAAACACAATACACATAAATGATGTCATTTCTTGCTATCCGCCCTAGGGATTCACTGAAATTAATTTAAAGACTACTCTATGTGGGCTATATGTCAAAGGTACAAAATTCCTAATAATCTGTATTAGCCTTTATTGAAGTTATTAAAAGTACACCTATTGGCTAGGCGCGGTGGCTCATGCCTGTAATCCTAGCTCTCTGGGAGGCCGAGGCGGGCGGATTGTTTGAGCTCAGGAGTTCAAAACCAGCCTGAGCAAGAG